TTTCCCTCTGACTAAATTTTTTTCACACGCATGATCACTTTCCTCCCGTGACATTTCCTGAACTGTTTGCACACGTTTCCGAAAGAACGGCTTCATAGATTAGCTCGGGATAACGAGATCATCGTCCGTCATTTTCTCGGAAATCAAGCCCGGTATGCGAGTGAAAAATTCTCGTGTGTCTAGGAATAGCAAGAGATTTAGTGTACCAGGATAGTAATGACGTAGAGATATTTCATTCTCTTGTCCACCCTCTCCTCTCTCCCGCGTTATCGTGACACGAGTCCCCGCAAACTCTTCGCTGTCGGAATTTTGCCTTCGTCAAGAGCGCTTTTCCAAAATCAATTTCTGCGCTTCTCATTTTCGACAATAGATCGGTACGCGCATTCTCGTCTTTCGTGTTTTGATTCCGCGCGGAATTGTCCTTATCACCGTCTCTCGATATTTTTCGTTTCATCTGCGAGACTGGGATTTCATTTCTTTCACGTTAATCACAAAGTTGTCCTCGTTGTCATCGTTCTCTTCGTTATGACTCGCGGGGATCTACGGGACGTTATATTGAATCTCGACAATGTTTGTATTTTACGTGCGCTTGTTCTCTCTTCCGACCGTCTCTTTTGTTCTTTCATCTCTTAAGTATCTCTACATGTAGCTCGGACTTCATTCTCTGCGAGGAAACAGTTGTAGCTCGCGCTTTTGTGCTCGTAAAGGGCCTCCAGCTGGGATAGAGGCAAATTCAAATTAGTTTTGTAAGCAAAGAAGATAGCTAAGTTTGTCAAATACTGAATGACTCGCGGAACGACATATTTTTCTTGCATATGATATTTCTCTCTCCGCGTTTCATTTAAAAATCAGTGCTCCAACCAGAACATGTGGTAATGTAAGCAAAACTATACAGGCCACGTAGTTTTGCATTCAATTCATAAGAGGGAATTGGTTATAATAAATTGGATTCAGAGAAAAAGTCGTGATTTTTTTATAAGCCATAGAGAGTTATATGTTTTATCTATAATCTATATCCTTGACTTTTATCTATTATAAATATTTTCTTTAAATTCGCGATTTATTTTTCCAAATATATCGACCTTTTCTTTCACCTGTCGTAATTTTTTCTAGAACGAAATATCTGTGTATTTGCATACTCGTGAATCGCAATATGTGTGTCGCGGAGTATCAATTATATTTGCTCAATATGCGTAACAAGTAACATCTCACACAATTCTCGATTCTATCGCGAAAAATTCTGTCCCGGAAATACCGTCTCTTTACCGTTCCATCACGCTTCGACGAGCGTATTCCTTGCCGAAATGCTTTGCGGAATGGTAACCGACATCAATAACGTCGCGGAGAAGAGAGAAGGCGGAGAGGGTACAAAAATAATTTCATGCCATCGAGTTTACGGATCGTTGGCATCGGCGAAGCACCGCGAGAGAGGGAAAGAGAGGAAAAGAGATCCTCGATACGAGGCGAGGGAGCGTGATGGGTACGCGAAAGCGACAAGGACGAAAGATTTTATTTTCGAGAGGGGAGGGTGCACACACACGCACACATACCTACACAACGTATACACGTAGGTGCCGCTAACACTCGACGTATTCGTCAACGTCAATATGTTCTCGGCTGATCGCCATGTCAACGTCACTGTCGATCATCCATGGACGGCGGAGGAGAGGGAGGAGAAAAAAAAAAGGGAAAACGAGGAAACGCGAAAAAATTCGCCTAGGGATTAATGCCGATTTAACGCTCGATGATTGGTCGCTTCGCCATTGTACTCGCGGGTGGATGATTCGCGGGCGAACTGCTCTCGCGTTCTTCTCCCCGGAGACCTCATAAAAACAGCGGAGATTTTACACATTTTAATCGTCGCCGTTTTTGCGCGATTCCTTTAACTCGTGCGATTAAAAATGTGCTTAATTCGGCGTAAAATTTATTATATTTTTTCTCAAACTCATGCATTATTTCACGATTTCGCGAGTATTAAATTAAATGTCGCGATCATACTTCCTTAAAAATTACATCCCATATCTTAGTCATTTATTTGTTTATATATGTAACGCATTGTTTTTTTTTTCTCAAACACTCCGGAATTTCCACGATTTTAAACAAGTACATCGACTCTGTAATCCAATAATCCATAATCAATAATGTGTACTCCTTCCAATGAATGGTAGTTTTACATATTTATCGATTGCATATCGGATGCTTCCTTCGCTTTTAATCATCGAGATGCTCGTGGATAAATGAAAATACAAGGAGAGAGAATAAAACAAACCTTCGGCTATTTAGAATCTGGGTTTCAATTGGATTCTCGTTGCATTTTCTTTTCAACGACATTGGAGATAATATTGTAAAAACTATATTAAACCAAAAAGAAACTGATCGATTAATAAAACCTTTGTCATGTCAATATACCGTATTCGATTCGATCGGAAATGCGATTTCCGGAAGAAGTTTGCCCGTGAGATGCCTTTTGAACATCGTACGTAGTTTATCGTGCACACTCACCCGCTGCTACCAGCTGGAATAGACACGGCCTGGATTGGGTACCGACGAGATTGTCCGCCCAGCACGAGAGGGTACCGTAATCCAGCTCGGTGGTCGGTGTGTATCTCAACACGCTGACGCCGCTCGACTTCTCCATGGAGAACCTACCAGGTGCTACCTCTAGGGTCTCGCCGCTGTTGTTGAATTTCCACCGGAAATTGTGCGCCGGCGGATCGGCCTCGACCCTACAGGCGATGTCGAGCGACTCGCCCCTCGACGCGCCGACCACTATGATCCGGTCCTCCTTGCACACCGGCGCGACTGTAAGCAGAATTATCGATTTATTACGCGCCGCGAGAGAAGAGCAAGAAACGGTCCTCTTCCGCTGAGCGTCTCGAAGCCTTTGACGGCGCTGGAATTTATCGCAGGATTCGCGGAATTTATGGTAATTAATCGAGATCTCTGCGAAATTTTCAAAGAGCTGACGTCTTCAAATTTTACAGATCAGGAAAACGAAAGATCTCTATATATTTGACAATTTAATTTCGCAAAATGTGACGGGAAACTGGCGCGTAATAATAGAGAAGGATGTAAATTAAATATCAGCTGTTTTTTTTCTTTTTTCCTTTTATATGAGATTCGAGGGTTTTAATCGCTGCATATTTGAAAATGTTTTAAAGCTGCTTTACTGCGTGACCACATAAATTTTGACAAAGATTAAGAAAAAAAAATGCATTACTATAAATGTATTTAATTCTACTATTATTATTAATGTATACTTAACGGATTAACCCAGCTCCGACTCCAGCGAGCCTAGTCGCTACACTTTGCGAAAAAAAGTATTACATATTATGCGTTTAATATCAATGCGAGAATAATCCATTGTTTCCAGAGGCGACAGTGCCATACGTATTATTCTATGTCATCCTGGGAATATCGGAAGATCGGAAACGAAGGAGAGGAGATCTCTCCGAGGGAGAAAAGCCGCGAGATAAAGCGAATTGCAAAGCGAGCGAGGGATCCGGGGTAACACCGTCTCGGCGTTATCTGTACACGGTCGGAAGATTTCTCCCGCTTCTGACGATATGCCAATGATGACCCACATATCGCGGCTGCATCTGGGAAAACACGCAAACGACAGCGATATCGTACGGACGATTTTTCTGACACGCCTCGGCGTTTTGTCACCAGGAGGGGGAGGGGCAGCCTGTAACCGGTGGTAGAATCGTTTTATCAACACGAGAGTTATGCAAAAAAAGTCTACTGTCTCTTTCTCTCTCCTGTCTTCGTCTTTCCTCGCGACGATATATATCTGCGTTCCAATTTATCTGCGTTTATCTCCGCCTCCCTTTGTCTCCATTCGTCTCTTCGTCTTCGAAGAGCGCGAGGAGAGAAAGAGGGACATGTATATACGCGCCTTTTATCGTGTAGCTTGAACGAGACATTTCTGGGGCAAAATTGATATTACGTGACAATCGGAACAAAGATCGAAATACTGATATATAATGCAATTCGCGAAAAAATATATAAAGCGAGTAGGTATATGACTCCAGATTGAAGAACTTGTAATATCTGCGATATTCAACCGGCCCGGTTGAAAGTATTCGTTATGAAACTCACCGAGTCTCGCGCTTTCATAGTATATCACTTTTATTGCAGACTTTTCAGCTTTATTACGTGTTCATAATTACCGTACATTTCCTATTGTAATACGATTGCGCAAGACAAGCAATTGATATTAATTCTCGCCGATAGCCGTAATACAGCATTCCACGATGGCTGTAGCTTTTCAACGATTTGATATTAAATTTAAACGCCGGAGGAGAATTTAAATGCCGTATATATTTAAGCGTTATTGGGGGCTCATTGTTCTTCTCGCTGCGATATTTTCAATTGCCTCATATTTGAACTTTGATCATGGCTTTTTAGCTCGGACGCAAGTGGACACGAAATAAATGCGGCGTCGAGAGAAATTTTATGATATAAAAGCGCGACACACATAATGGGTTTTATTTACGACGTGTAAATAAAGCATAGTACACGAAGATTTGTGTGGACAATATCCGCATTAAACCGACTCAAAATCGTAGTCTACATACACTTCACTGCGCTTACGCACACACATTTATAAATAAAACAGGTATAACGTTATAGCGCGTGTCATAATAATCATAAGTAGCGGGAAAATAATGATTGGCTTTATTGACGCGCGTACGATAATTGAAATTGCTGTTAAAAAAAGTAAAAAATGATACTTGTGTATATATTCTATGTATTTTATGTTTATATTATAAAAATTTCATTAAAAGAATGTAAATTGTTAATATTAAATAAAATAAATATGTCATATATGAAATTATGTATGTCACAGGCTCTCTGGATGTACAATGAATTGAATGATTTAAAATTAATAATAAATCGTATTGAGAGAGAAAAAGGGAAATATACGATACTGTGTAACTACAGCACGATTTCAATTAAGAGAAATTTAATTAACATTTATGCATCGAAAAGTAACAAAACGATTTGGTTATAGCCATTAATTAATATCGTTCAATTTTATATCTCCGTATGTGTATAATATTCGATTACCAAGTAAATCGCTAAAATCAGTATGCTTTTTGATGTTTGACGTAGGATTCGCACAATATTTATGTCTTAATTAATAACGTAGACTATCAACTTCGTGAGAAAAACCTACTATAAATTGAAACAATTTTATCAAAAGAGCGCAAATTATATAACTTTATTGCAGATGAGTTGAAAATAATTGATTATTTTTTCATGCAAAGAAAATATTTTACACATATATATATAAGTAAAAAAAGTATAATAAAAAATATAAGAATATTGAAAATATTACAATACTTACAATAATGAAACTATTATTCTTGCAAAATAGAAAATCTGATGATAAATCAAGAATTCTTTTTTTTTTTTCTTGGACAAAATTTTTTTTATACATTATATATCTGTATTCTGCGATGACAGAATAAACGAATATGTATCGAATCGCTTTTGCCATATCTCCTTTAAATTCACTCGGTATTTTTGTCCTGCGACCACTGTAAATTCTATTATATTACGATAGTGTCGATAGCATAAACCAAACGTTATTTCCTCTTTCCAAACACAACGCGCGCTATGTAATATATCCAAGAAAATAAACCACCGCGAAACAATCCCCGATTTCGATTCCTTGAGAGCACTCCCGAGATGGTCGCTTATGCGAGACTATTTCCTCTATCTTTACGAGGTCGTCAGGATCCATAGTTAAATATATTGAGGATCGCGCTTGTCTACGAAATTGGAAGTCGTGCAAGCGTCGTCAGGACTTCATATTAAGTGTCTCTTGCATGCCGATTACTTTAGGACGGTCTTATTGGAATCAAATCAAACTCACGCTTCATGAATCATCTTGAGTTGTATTTTTACACAAAAATCGTAAAAATAAATTCAGCTTTCTTACTTTGATCTTTGAAAAGATTTTAAAAATCTTATATTTTAATATATTAAAAAAAAAAAAAATTAAATATAAATCGTAAGTACATGTATTCTCGCGAAGATTTCAGAAACTTTCTAAAGCTATCGCCAGCGCTTCGTCGTAATGTTCAAATTGAAATTCGGATTTTCCCAAATATCTCGCAAATTGTGCATTCTACAAGAGAAGTGCGCGAGTCTTTTCATGCTTCTCTCTTCGTTGAGAAGCTCCCTTACTTGCGCGAGGAAAGTACCGCTTTGATAATTCGTACGCTAGAGCGAGAACCGCGCACGTGTCCTGCTTTCTTCCTAGATACGCTACGAATCACCCTTTTCACGAAACTCAGAGGCACCTTCCGCGTCGACAGTCCACCATAACCCGGGAATTGGGTTTAAAAAATGTAGCCGGCACTAAGAACTCTTGAAATATTCATATCGAATGTGATTCCCGAGATGTACGCGACGCCTGAGTTAATATATGTATACATATATACATATATATATATATATATACATATATACATAAGTTACACGGTATAATCTTTAAACGCTTGTTTATCTTGTAAACTGTCCAAATAACGGTTTTGCTCGCTTGCTTATGAAATTACTTACGAAATAATTAATCTTAACTTCTTTTCTCATGTCTTTCTTTTATTTTTTGCTCTCAGTCCGCGACAGCCGATAAGGATTGGGTAAGTACTAGCTAACATAATGTATTGGTTGTGACGAACGACGCGTCTCGACGATATAGCATATTATTTTGTGT